GTTTTTTTAACTTCTTTTGAAGCATGGTCAGGGAATAAACCCCAAGTCTGTCCCTCCCCCCACAAAGGGAGAGACTAAGCCCAAAAGATGAATATTTGTCTTAACATAGCTGTTAAGTCTCCTCACCTCAGCTGCCACCCTGAAGCTTCATGTGCACTGTCTGCTTGCGTTAAGACTTCTGAGAGTCTCTCCTCCGTGCATATACATTAATACACATACATGTTAACATACACTTTAACAGTTCCACTGACCACCATTTGGAAGCACATCTAAAACCCATTTCAGTGTTGGAGAACATCTTGTTACAATATGATGGGTGAAACATCTCCTATTAAGGGAGTGCAGTGGTTGAGGGACCTCCCCAACCCATTCAGTACAAAGCCTAGAGTGTGGATTTGAGCTGCTGAAAGCTGCACAAATCACTGTCAGTCTTGCATTGAGCTGTGGATGGGGGAGGATTGACAGGGGTTGTGGAGATGTTTGTGTAAAGTTTGAGGATTTTTAAATATTAGAAAATTGCAGTGGTTTGGTGCAGAAGCAGCGTTCAAAGCAAGGCATAGTGATGGGTGTGTGGTATTTGTTGAAAGTTATTTAAAAAATATCACAACCAGACCTAGAAGCCTGGGATTTTTTTTAAAGCACTGTTCAGCTATAGCAGGGAGAGTCTAAACTCAATGCTGAGTCATCCAAGAGGCAAAATAGTTTGAGCCTACTTTCTGCTGTTGCCCCACCAGCCTCCCCAGGGGAGAGCAAGAGAGCCCTGCTGTTTGGTCTTTAAGTGTGTCTTTGGACAGGTGGGAGGTGATTACAAGAGGAGGGTGGAAGAAGTTAGGTAGGAGTAACCTACTTTGCAGCTAAGGTTGTGGGGGTGGAAACCTGGCTAGTTTAGGAAAGGACCTGGTGCTCTTGAGGATCAGAAGTTGAACAGGAGTCAACAACCTCAGGCTACTTGGGCAAAAGCAAATGTTATGTTCCAGTGTATAAACAGGAGTAGATCCCATACAACATGGGGAGCAACCCTTCCTCTTTGCAAAGCATTTGCAAGACCCCAACTGGAATGGGGTGCCCAGTTCTGAGCAGGGGGCAGCTGGGTGGACGGAGAGGGCAAGGATGTATCAGAGCTATAGGAAAGGTCTGAGGTGTGAGGGGCAACTGAAGAATTCAGAGCTCTTCAGACTCTGAAGGGAGATGTGAAGAGCTGTTTTCAAAAACAGAGGTTTCTGGAGCAAGAAATAACCTGTTCACTCTGTCTGTGATGGATGGGAGAGGAAATAGCAGGCTTAAAGTGCGGTAAAGGAGACAGGATCAACAATGGAAGTGTAGGCACAGTGAGACACTGAAATCAATTGCACAGGGGGGTCGTGGAGTCTCTACTAGTGAAGGTGCTGAAGATTCAGTTCATTTGATCAGTTGGGATAACTTAGTTCAGTTTTGAGGGGAGAGGTGGATAACTCAGTATTTCAAATACCTTTCTGTTCACCATTTTACTATGATCTAACACTGTTGTGAGTTGTATGCTAGAGGCATGGTTTGGTAAGGCAGCAGATGGCTGGAGCAAGTGAAATGTAAGAATATCAACTGAAAATAGCTTTTAAAGTAAACAGGATAAAGGACTGTAATGTAGGAGAGTAACGTAAATAAAATTTTTAAAAAGGAAAAAGTAATCAGAAGATACATGTTACTTGCCTGATTCCTCAATGTGCTGCCTCTGTGGTCAGAAGTAAGCACGTGAGTTTGAGGCTAAATGCAATACTAAGTGTCTTGTGAACTTTGAGTAGCTTTTCTGAAGGTTCAGCCTCGGGTAACTGAATCCTCAGGAGTGTTTTGCCTGAGGGAGGGAGAGAGAAGGAAGAAATGTTTTCTGCCTTTACAGAATAGCCTGTAGGGCCTTGCCCCATTTTCCTTGATGAACAGGAGTTGGTTGTATAGGAAGCAGCTGGAGCTTGTTGAAAAAACTACACAGGTAAATAACAGAGGAAAAACAGGAAACCTGCAGGACAGCCAATTGACTATCAGAAGGTAAAACAGAAGTGTAACATTGGCATACTGGGAGCACCAAAAGACAAATACAAGAGAAAGGATGAAAACTGGTACCTCTCCAGGTATGCACATAGTCTGAGAGCATTACTTGATGTTTGGGGAGCGAGTATGAAAACGTGGATGTCTTAGGATATAGGGAGAAAGTTAGTTCATTGAAAGCAGTGATTTATTTGCATTGATGGGTTAGGAAGTATGCATGAACACTTTATCTATTCAGGTAAGCCAGATAGAAGCAAGCAATAGAAATAAAAGTTAAAGGCAAAAAAGTGCATTGAGGGGAAGAATCTCGAGTCTCTAGATTTAAGATAGTGGAAGATCAGAAAAATAAGTAAAAAACAGATGTGATATATGATAATAATGATGCCACCTGGTAGAAACTGCGCTAAGATGTCCAATGTGCCCCTAAATTGTGTAGTGGAGAGTACATAGGAAAGGGCTTTGGACTGCTCATGATATTTTTGTTTGGATACCATCAGCTCTTTTTGTAGACTGGCTCTAGGGCTGCTGCAAGCCCTCTTGTTTATGATTGTTCAGTAACTCATCAGTCTAGTAGTGAGAGTGTGGATGTGAAACTCTTCCTCACCCCAGCCCCATATCCATCAGAAGTGCAAGAGCTGACTGACCCCTGAGATGAGTTTGCCTTGAGATCTGTTAGTTGCCGTCAGCCCTGGAAGAGTGCAGATGACTGCAGCCTTTTAAATGGACCAGCAGTTTCAACATGGGAATTCTCATCAGAGCCTACTGCCTGGGTACTGACATCCTGACTGGAGCTTTGTGAATTACTGATCTCAAGGCCTTCAGCACACACCTAAGCATCAGCTTTACTGGGCTAGCTCTTTACTCCTTTGAAGTAATGGTTGCCCTGCATTTTACGTTGGGTGAACACTCCTTTCTGCACAGTCAAGAAATATGCCTAGAGAATTTGGTGCATGTTTGACCTCATTCCAGAGGGGTTTTGGCTCATTCAGTTGCTCATCTCATTCTCATTTTAGCATGGAAGCTACCTCATGCCCATAGCAATGTGAGGACTCAATGTAAGGATTTGGTATGGTCTCATTCATTTTGAAAAGACTGGTCAAAAAGCTGCTAAACCAGCCTGCCAGTGAGTGAAATGAAAGCAACTCCCAAGCACATGGGGTTTTGTGTCTTGAAAAAAAATTGAATCATAGACTCAAAAAAAGGATGTGCTGAGGCTCCAGCCCAAAAGTGATCTTATTTCCAATAATGATTTTAACTGTGTGAACAAAACCAGCTATCCTCTCAGTCAAAAAATGTCACTTCAATCCAGGGCACTTGAAGGGAGAGTGCAGGAGAGCTGTTACAATTAGTGTGCAATCTCATTAGCCTCTACCATTTTCCCCCAGAAGGCACCTGCTTGATTTGATTATAACAGTGAAGATATAGTGTAGTTTCAAAAGACAGACCAGTCATGGATAATCTGGGCTGACCAAAGCTGTCCCCCGTGGATCAGACCTCTATTTGTATTGTTTCCTTAAGGCAAGTAAGGCATCACAGGTGCCTTTATTGGCAGTCATTGCTACATGCCGGGAACTGCCAAGATTAATATACAAAACATTCCCCTCCCCGCCTCCTGCTTTCACAAAGTAACCAGCATAAAAGTATAATTCAATTACTACTCAGTCAGAAACCTCGTGTTGTCAGAAGTTGTTACTAAGACGACAGTGGTTATTCATGATGTACTGACTTGCATGCTTCAGCATATCTTTGGAAATCATACAGTTGTGTTTATTTGCAGATGACTGATTAATTTTGCTTTGAATCAGTAAGTAATCTGCAGAGAACATATGTAGCAAATAGCTAGGTATAATTTATTCATTGTTTCTTTAATTATTCTGTTTGTCGTTATTCCATATTGTCAGGTTTTCAGCTGCTGTTGGTAATAAAAGCAAACTGAAAACCCGTGCAGCTGAAGATATAATTTCTTTAGCATTTTTCAAATAGGCAGGGGATTCATCTTTTCTTGGAATGAATTGATTTACTGCAACTGCTGTCTAATGCAATACTATAGAATAAGTTAAAACCTTATAAAAAATTTAAGCACTCCTCTGAGGAAAGCGCTTTCAAGTCATTTGCAGTATCTATGTAGAGTTATCTCAGTCTTTTTTAGTTGCTGGCATGGAGAGAAGATATAATTTCTAGAAATTCATCATCATTTCAAACAATAAACTGAAACAGCATTAGTTAAAACTACTGAAGAAAATCAACAGTGTCATTTGACACCTCTGAGTTAGAGATGATGAATTAAAATTTCAGTGTGTCTCTGTTTCTCCATATATTGTAGACTGACAACAGTTAATCTCCTAACTAAACATGCAAAAAAACCCCCGTTAGTTTACCAGCACAGGTATGATTCCTTTTTGATGAAGTGCTATTTTGTACATTGTTACTTGTAAAACTTCTTCTTTGGACTGGGATCTTTCTACGTTTTTTCCCAGCTCACAAATTTTTCTTACAACTATTTTGCACCGTAAAAAGCCCAAACTTTCTCAGGAATGCAATATTTTTCTGGGACTGTTCTTTGGTCAGCTCTTCTGACAATTTAACTTTAAAGGAGTTACTATTTGCTACTTGTCCACTTTCCTATCCCAGGTGAAGTTGCAAATTCCTGGAGGACAAATTTTGATGTTTTTGAGAATCACATTCCATAAGTCAGTCAGAATTTCACTCAGCGTAAGAGTTTAAGGAGATATTGTGTGGTGTGTAAAATCAAAAATAATTCTGATAGTAAAATCATGCCAAACAGGCAGAAGCACCCTTTTTCCTCATCTTTTGAGTCTCTTGTTAACAGAAAACTGTAAAGATTTGGGCTATACCTTGTTACAAATTTTATTTGCAAAAAAACTATGCATTTTCCCCAAGAAAGTTTGTACTGTATCTCTCCAAAAGTACATTTTGTCCTACTGTTTACCACTCTAATTCGAACTAAATTTGTTTTGTAGCTATCCCTTGAACAACAGTGATCTGCATCAGTTCAACATTGAGGAGAACGGTGGAGCACCATATACCACAAAAATGCCTGCAAGGCACCACCACCACCACCGCCATCACCACCACCACGCAAATTACGGCGCCCTCACTCCTGACAGCAAAGACATTGTTTCTGGAGTTCCAAACCCAAACAGTAAGTCCACTGCAGTGAATGCCAGTTTAGTAACTTTGCTGCTTTTAGATTTGTCTCTGGCAAGGAGGCAAAGGAGGCAAGGGAAAGGAAAACACGTGTTTTGGTTTTCTCATTGAAGAATATGTTTCCTGTTATTATTTGCTAGCTTTGTAGTCTGTGCAAATGAGACAAGATTTACAGTTTCCTGGCTTTGCTATGGGGTTGTTAGATTGATGTTCCATAGCTGAATAAATACTCAATTAGTTACAGATACTGAGTCTCTAGACACTTGGCACAGGCTGTTTTTTCATTGTTACTATTTATTTGTATAGTTTCACAAACCTATCCTCATCTGCCATTGTCCTTTGCTGATCTGCCCAGCTGGCCTTCAGCCCTTATTGTTTGGATCTGACTCTTGCTTTCATGTCTGGGCACAAACAACAGAAATTCTGGAGCACTGGACAAACAGCATTTTGCACTTAGTTTGGGTAATGGGAACAATTCCTGCTCAGCCCCTACCTACCATGACTAGAGTACACTTGCCTGCTCAATGGAGAAATTATTGGCTCGTAGAAAGCAAGGAGGAGAGAAGCCTATCTGTTCCTGACACAAGCTTGAGTTTGGGTGTAAGTCTCTGCTTTTTTAAGGGTACATAGCTTGGACAAATGTTTGTAGGTTTACACAGGAACTGGAAGAGAAACATCCCTGCCATTGAGCAATCCTACCTTTTGCTCTCCACATTTATAATCTCTGCACTCTGCAGTGTGTGAGATGCTGAACTTGTCTAAGAATTTCAGAAGATGGGCAAAACAAGGTATGATCTATTATTTTCCTTGCCTCAAGGGGACGAGAAGTTCTCCCTTTGTCCAGTTTTTGCATTTATAATTGTAAATCATGCTGAGATAGACATCCATTATGGTAACTTTCAGCCTGAAGAGTTAATCCAACAACTTCCAAATTCCTGAAACCAGGATCTTGTAAAGGACGGTGCCGGATGACCTTGACTGTAGGCTGTCCCACCTCAGCAGTAAGGCACAGGTATCTACTTGCACAGGCACTTTAATAAGACTTTGTTTCAGAAACCCAGAAACATTTTCTTTCATTTCTTTCCCAAGGAGAGGAAAATAACAGGTTTTAGGACAGAAGCTGAAGAAATAAAATGCAAGGCATTGTAGACATTTATGGAAGGAATCCTAAGCAGCAATACGAATTGCTTGCTGGGGCTTTCAATGGGGCTAGCGCCTTAGGAGCAACCTCCATGAGCCGTGCTGTGCTCCTCCGCCTTTCACAGATGGTGAGGCTCCATGCTGGCGTACCTCCGTGCTGCCCAGCATGCAGAGCTGGCACGGCACACCCCAGCATGGCCGCCGAGGCCTGGGGCAGGCAGCCAGGCA